GTGCAGTGTGGACTCTGTCTCCTCTCTCCCCATCTCTTGTGCATGTATGGGCATGTATGAGACTGTCTGTGTGTGAGTGGCGAGAAAATTCGTCAGACAACCAAGGTCATAACAGTTGGTATCGGAGCGAGATTGGAATTGGAGCACTGAGGGTTGAGCGCACTGAGGCATCTTCTTCATCCTGGCGATATACTGGCGAGAGCTTCATGGTGATTCATCTTCCCCAGTACTGAGTCAGCAGGGAAGAAGGTTTTCAGCGGTGGATTCAAGTGTTCAGTGGCTGTACTGAACAAGCGCACCGAGCCTGTCAGAGTGCTTGGCATGAAGTGGGAGTACAAGGCTAATTCGCCATAGCCAACCCTGAGGGGGATACTGCGAGATACCCCAGAGTTGCGAATTACCCCTGAGGACATCAGGGAACCCTGAGCGGCAGCGTCCGTGGGTGGCGCTGGATGAGATTGACATCCTGTATCAATCTCCAGGAAAAATAACCCCATCTGGGGCTATTTTTAGCATCAGCGGCTACCTGGCACTGTGGCGAGGTATTTTGGTGTTGGCGAATTGGGTGCCACAGGACCAGATACAGGGTATCTGGAGTAAGGGAGTGCAGCGCTATAGGATCCTGAGGAGGATCAACGATTTTGAAGAGGTTCTGTGCGTGGGATTGTCAGGAAGAAGCTCTGGAGGAAATTGGCGAGATAAGGGTTTCATCTGCCATAGCCAGACCTTCATCATCTCCTGCAAGATTCTCTGCAAGTGAGTCCGTTCCATGCACCTACCTGTATTGCGATCCCGATAGTAGTAGATTAGTGAAAGATTATGGTCTATCTGTCTGTCAGTGACTGGATATGAAAATCACAGACTGCGTGACAGCCATAGCCATCTCTCTCCCTATCTCCCTCTGCTCATATCTCATCATCTGTTGACTCTTTCTAGTCCAAACTTGTCCTGTGATAGCTATACTGTATTGCGATTGTTCTGGGATGATCAAACAGTGAATTCTGTACTGGAAAAGTAGTGATACTGGGAATTGTTGTTTTGCGCTGAGTCTATTTTTAGCCTGTGCTACCTAGGGTCGGCCATAACTTCAATTCTGTCCGTCAGAATTCAGTTCTGTCAGTCCCCAGTGAATCGCAAATTGAAAACAGTCAGTACTGTCAAATCGCAGAGTTGGATTTCTAGTATTCCACTGGATACAGTGAAAACTGTGATTCACCATACCCTAGGGTATGGCCGCCAGTGTCATCAGGGTCTGAAATTGAGTCTGAGTCAGGTTACAGGGTATCTGTCTGCATCGCTTGTGGTACTTGATCTCTCTGTGTTTGTGCTAAGCATTTCTATCATTCCCACTGATTACACTTGTTTTCTAATGGGCACTGAAACTTCTAGTGGGTCTCTGGAAGACTAGTGGAGTGACTGTGTTACTTCCAGTGTGGTCCAGGGTCAGTAAAAGGAAATCGTGTGGCTGATTTTGCTGGACTAACAGTCTGTTTGACACCTGACCCCAGAGACACCCTTCTAACCCCAAACCGTTGATTGCCTACTCACCCACCTACCCTAGTGTTGAGAGTTGCAGCGATTCCAGGGTATGTGCAGGAATCTGTGTATCGCTGCAATCCTTTCTGCTGTTATTTTATTTTTGGGTTATTTGAACTGGGAAAATGTCGGATCAGGGGAATGAGCAGCAACCACATGTAGAGGTTGTGGTGAAGGCAGAAGGTGAACAACCTTCTTCCTCCACTACTCCCCCTCCACCTCTGACTGCTACTCAGAGATTGAAGAAGGAGGCAGAAGAACAGCTAAAGCTGCAACAGGCCAGAGTGGCTGAATTGGAACGGCTGGAGGCTGCTGAGCTAGAGGCTGCAACAGATCACTCCAGAAGGGAGTATCTGTTGCAGCGGCTAGAGAAGTCGATCACTGATGATCGGTGCTTCAGGTCACCAAGCACATGGCTGAGATGATCCTGTTGGAGCACAAGATCACCAGCTCCCAGTTCACAAACTGGGATGATCGTTTTGTGCGGCTAGAGCGTCGGGTTGACGAGCTGTCAGCTCAACAGTCCAAGATCCTGGACTCTATCCAGGGCTTGTCTGCTCAGCTGGCAGCCGCCAAGCTGATTACTCCTCAGCTCCCTCTGCTGAAACCCAAAACCTCTCCTCCTCCTTCACCACCTCCTTCCCCTCCTTCATCCCATGGGGGATCTGTACATTCTTCCCAGTCATCTACTCCTTCCCAAAAGGCCTCAGGAAAGGCCACCTATGCTGCTGTGACTGCAGCAGACAGAGGTCCCAAGATCCTTGCCCCCAACAAGTTCAGGGGCGATGACCCCAAGACTGATGTTGGGGACTGGGCTGCTGGGACCAGAGCGTACTTGAGGGGCTTTGTCTGTGCAGAACAGACCAAGTCTGAACTTTTATGTCTTCCTTGATCTGCCCATGAGTTGGTGTTCTCCATGCAGTGGTTGAGGGCAGCCAACCCTAGGATCGACTGGCAGATTCCTAGAGTTGAGCTACCAGACCGCCAGGGTGTGTATCAGCAGTGCATGATTGCTGCTGAACATCACCCTAAGACCTCCTGCTACTGCGTGAGAGCGAGGGAGTTCCATGCTCTCTCTTGCCAGTACCACCATGAGCGTCTGTTTATTGCTCTGGTCAAGCAAACAAATGCTCCCCCTGTTTCCTGTCCTCCTGAGATACAGCAGGTGGTAGATCAGTATGCTGATCTGATGAAGGAGCCCTCTGGACTTCCCAACCGGCCAACCAAGCATCACATCGAGCTGCTGCCTGGAGCGGTCCCTCCCAAGGGCCGCATCTACAGGATGTCCCCTGCTGAGCTTGAGGAGCTCAGAAAGCAGCTTGAGACCCTGACCAGCAAAGGCTGGATCAGACCCACCACATCTGAATTCGGTGCACCTGTTCTCTTTGTGCCCAAAGGGAACGGCGAGTTCAGGATGTGCATTGACTACAGAGGTCTCAATAAGATCACTAGGAAGAGTATTGAGCCACTTCCTAGGATCGATGACCTCCTGGACGTGGTGCAGGGCTGCACAATGTTCAACAAAGTCGACCTCAAATCTGGCTACCACCAGATTGAGATGGCAGAGGAGGATGTCTACAAGACAGCCTTCAAGACCAGGTATGGGACATACGACTTCCTGGTCATGCCATTTGGACTTTGCAATGCCCCAGGCACCTTCCAGACTCAGATGCACCGCATCTTCAGGCCTTACCTGGACAAGTTTATGGTTGTCTACCTGGATGATATCCTGGTATTCAGCAAAACTGCCAGGGAACATGCGGAACACTTGGCTCTAGTTCTTCAGTCGTTACGTGACAGCCAATATAAGATCAACAGAGAGAAGTCCTCTTTTGGAGTTCCGTCTGTCATCTATCTGAGTCATGTAATCTCTGGAGATGGCCTGGCTCCTGAAGCAGCCAAGATTGCTGCTATTCAGGAGTGGCCTCAGCCTCAGACAGTGAGGGATGTCTGGTCCTTCATGGGTTTGGCCTCCTACTACAGAAAGTTTGTTAGGAACTTTTCTGCAGTGACTGCACCCCTGACTAACCTAACAAAGAAGGACACTCCCTTTCTTTGGTCCCTCCACTGTCAGCTGGCCTTCACACGACTCAAGAAGGCCTTGACTCGTGCGCCTGTCCTGAAGTTACTCGACCCCACTTTGCCATTCATCCTGACCATTGACGCTAGTCAGTATGGCATTGGGGCAGTGCTTCAGCAGGATGATGGGAATGGTCTACGGCCTGTAGAGTTTATGAGTAAGAAGATCGAGACTCAAAAGCTCCAGGACTCTACCTACGAGAAAGAGCTGTATGCTCTTGTCTGTGCCCTGAAACATTGGAAGCACTTTCTCCTGGGCAGGCACTTCAAGATCTTTTCAGATCACTCCACCCTACAGTGGATGAAGTCCCAGGGAGAGTTGAACGATAAACTGGCATGGTACATTCAGTTCATAGACATGTTTGACTTTGAACTGAAACACAAGAAGGGCTGCTACAACAAGGTAGTAGATGCCCTCTCTCATAGGCGTGACTCTTTTGCTCTGATCTCCTCTACTCACTCCTTTGGAGAGGAGACCCGTCAGACCATTGCTCGTCTACTGCCTCAGGACGAGACTTTTGGACCCATTGTCAGGAATCTGCAAGCAGATCCTAACTCTGAACCAGGCTATGCCCTGAGTTCAGACCTGCTGTACACGTACAGCAGAGGTGAGGAGCGCTTGTGCATTCCCCAGGACCCACCACTCAGGACACTGCTGCTGTCAGAGTGTCATGATGCCCGGGGGCACTTCGGGTTCCTAAAGTTTATGCAACCCTGTCGCAACGCGTCTTCTGGAAGGAGATGCGGAGTGAGATGCTGCGTTATGTTGACACCTGTGAGCTCTGCCAAAGGAACAAGGTTCAACGTAAACCTCCTTTGGGATTGCTCAAACCCCTACCCATACCTGATGGCCCTGCCCAATCTGTGTCGATAGACTTCACAGATTTAGGCAAGACCACCCCTCGTGGCATGCGTCAGGTTATGGACTCCGTGAACCGCGCCAGCCTCTCGATGATATCATCGACAAGGCTAAGCCAGATCTGACGCCAGGCACTGCAGAGTTCGCCAGACGCTATCGTCTGGATGTGGAAAGAGCCCGCGCGAACTTGTTCAAGGCCCAAAAGGCCATGATTGAACAAGCCAATCGCCACAGGCGGCCTTCCCCCATCCGTACTGGTGACCATGTCTGGGTAGCCAGTTCTGAGCTGTCGAGGGAGGAGGATATCTCCCCCAAGCTGTTGCCACGCTACTTGGGTCCGTGGCAGGTCCTAGATACAGTGGGCGCGGATCCCGTCGGCCCGTCGCATGTTATCGACGTCCCGCTGCATCTACGTACCTATTCGGTCTTCTTCCATGCATCCAAGCTGCTGCCTTTTACGCCAGCTGATGCATTCCCTGACCGGCCCCCTCAATGGGGCCCACCAATCCCTTGCAAGGGATATGATGTGGTGGCCATTGAGGATGAGTGGGGCACTGGCCCCGACCGGCAGTATCTTGTCAGGTTCGCTTTCCAACCTCCTTCTGAGAACCGGTGGCTCTACAGAAGAGACTTGATCAAGACAACAAAGTCTGTTGTACTGCGCTATGAGGCGGCTCAAAAGGGTGACCTTCGCCGTTCGCCTCGTCTGCACCCCTAGCTCGGAGGTCCTCGCTCCCGGGGAGGGTAAGCCTGCAATGACTTGCTGATTTCTGCTGCCGAGATTGACAGCGAGGCTGTACACTAACCCGGTAGGTTAAATTCGTAATTTTGTTTGGCTGAGGGCTAACCGAGAGACCTGCCTGTAAGGAAATCCGTGAGGGACAGATCTGCAAATCCGGGAAAATACAGGCCCGGTACTACCGAATTCCTACAGCTACCCTAACTGCCTATAGCAGGCCCGGGCTACCCCTAGGACAGACAGGCCCTAAGGGGCCTATACTGTTAGACGGTCCTATAGCCTATAGCCGGGTCCGGTAGAGGCCGAGAGGCCGGAAAACAGCAGCGGTACCGGTCGGTCAGTCAGTCCGGTCTAGGTCTAGAGAGTCTATAGATAGGTTAGGCTCATCGGTTCAGGACTTTTGGCA